AACCAGATATAAGCACTGGGAATACATGGTGGGACACTCTGTATATACGTTACGATGGAAAATATAAAAAATTTATCCGTCGTTAGTTTTTCTGGACCCCACGCATGGCACGTTTATTATAATTATTGCAACGTTCGCGAGAGGGCGGAATGATATTATGATTTATGAATAATATATATCATATCTGTATATTCGCGGTTAACGTGATGCGAAAGACGATAAATCAGAATATACTATACAATATTTAAATGGGTTAAAGAGAAACGACTCCTATTTAGGTTACGACCTCGCGGAATCCCTATATTGGAATAGGCCACGACTCACTGGCCATTTGCCTAAACGAATTTGAAATTATTCGTCCGGCGATGCCAGAAATTAAAATTATCAAAAAAAATTATAAAAATAGAATGGGCTCCTTAATAATAATTATTATTATTGATAACGGTTATATTACACCTATGTCGGTATAAGTAGGTATAGTATAGCGGACCGACTAATGAACTGACGTATACTATCACCTACATAGTACAGGTATACAAAATCGAAAACCGTGTAAGAAAAATATTAACATGAAAAAAAATTGTCTATATCTGAATTTAAAATCAGTTTGAACGTATCGTTTTTTAATGTACAGTTAATTCAAAATCTGGTTACAGGACTTCACTACAATTGACGTCTACTGTATAATATAGATTATTACACATCAATGTAAAGGCGGTCGATGAAATAAATAATGATTTAAAAAATATATATATATATATATATATATAATTTAGATACGAGTCTCCTAGACAGTTTTAATGAGTTTTAAATGTTTAATAAATAATCACGCTAATAATAATTGCTATGCAATCAAAAACGTGGGTATGCACTGTGAAATTAATAATATATAAGTTCGCGAGTTCGAGATCAAATATAGTTATTATAAAATCGATATTTCGAATCGTTAATATCATGTATCGTAAATATGCAAGCAAAGACAAAATTCAACCGAATATAAAAAACTGCAGTTCAAGTCGATAAATTATCGGTATGTACGATTTTATTTTTGGTAGGTAAAACAAAATAACTTTGTCAGATTTAGGTTAACAAAATTTGTATATGTCTGTATGGCTTAACAAACTAACTGAATTACTGTTTTAATAATATACAGGCACGCATCTAGAAATCTGAAATGGCAAGGGGGCTAAAAATGGTTTTTAGGTACACAACAAACCAATGGCGTTGTTTCAGTTTCCTTTTCGGATATGCGAGATTTAAAGCAGGCCATTTTAAGTATTTCACTAAACCATATAAAAATATGCATACCAAATTATATTATTTTACTTTTAATTGTTTGAATAGATAATGAATCGCAATAAACATATATAATAAAAAGCGATTTAAAATCTAAAAAATAATAAATAGTTAAGGTGCATAATGTACACAAATATTTAAGATGATAAATGCAGTAAAAAGAAAAAAAAGAAAAGTACATAATATTCACATTATTATTGATTGTTATGTATAACTTTTGCACGAGCGAAACGCTTTAGAAAAAAAATATATATTTGTATAAGAGAATACAGGCGATTTTTAAGTCCAGTAGATACATTTACTGCTTTTTCTAAATCAATATTATTAACTTCTCCTATTTCAACATTCAGCACCATAAGATCATTTAACCTTTAAAATCCACCACCCATAAAAGTGCGTAAATATGATTTTACATTTTTAAGCGATGAAAAACCCTTTCATTTAATACCATTGTAAATTAGTAAAGTTTTTATTAATAAAATAATTTTCAATGTTTCTTTAAAAGCGACTGTTAGCCGTTCAATAGCGAAGTTGTTCAAATTTCGACCGTGCGGTTCTCTATCTATATCTGTATTCTGTAGGTAGCACCCTATCAGTGTGTCTGATAGATTATAAAATAGAAGATAAATTTATTGTTTACCTAATTATTTGATTATTGACAGTAAAATACCAATATTGTTAATATTATAAATATTAACTTATACGAAAATGATGAAGTATTTCAGCAGACTCATTGGGACTATTTTAAAATTAGGGGGTGCAACCGCACATCCTGCATTCTCCCAAATGACGCCCTTGCTACAAACATAGTTTAAGTTAGTGCTTTAATATTTTTGCTCAACAAATTTGCTAATTACACCACAGATTAAATTATTAAAATAATATAAAGCAAATACATACATTTTAAATTCTAAATGGAACGAAAAAGCTTATGATTTTACAAAGATGTTTGTTTTTTTTTCTATGGACAACTCTTTTATCAGAAGACTTGCTCCGATTTTTACGTGTAGCACTTTTTTGAACGGAAATCGATATAATAAGATACCTTAAAGAGGTCATTTTTTGATTTTCTCTAGAGCTTTTCAATAAATGTGAAAAACCGAAAAAAACGGAGGAAAACGGGAAAATATACGAAATAAATTTGTATAATGTTACGAAGTTTTTTTTTTTTTTGTGGACAACTTTTCTGCCAGCAATTTTGCTCCAAATTTTATTGATAGCAGTGTTTCTGAAAGGAAATTCACCAGGGAGGTATTTTAGAGAAATCGATTTCCATTTTCACCGTAGTTTTCTCAACAACTCTGAAAAACTGGGAAAACCGGGTAAATCGATGCAAAATTAAACAAATATTATTAAAGTTAAAATTTTTTTTCACAATTCCACGTTAAAAGTTTCAAAAATAATCGAATAAGTTAAATAAGTAAGTAACAATAAGTTTAATAATAATAAATTACAATTCATGTAATACGTGTTATACTTTCTTTTTTTTTACCTAGCTAATCACGGTTATATATAGTGTCAAAAATACGTATTGTCTATTTATATCTTGTATTACTTAATATCAGATTTTGAGTGTAGCGAAAAATGTATTGGTTTTACCTTTGATATTTATTTTTCTTTTTTTTTTTATACTGTGTGCAAAAATTCTACCAGAAATCCGATGTACATGATATAGACCCTTTTCTAAAATAAAATTTTCTTGGAGTGGTAGCCTAAAGAGGTCATTTTTTGATTTTCTCGGTAGTTTTCCCAGCAAATGTAAAAAATTGGAAAAAAGAACATGGGAAACCGGAAAAAACGTAGAAAAAACGGAAAAAAGGGATCAATATTAAAAAAATATTATTGTTAAGTATTACACTATCAAATAATCGGTTTTTCGTTAGCAATGATTTATCGTTGCTTACAGATATATATTAAATTCCCATCTATATCCTACCTTCCCAACTTTCCACCTACAACAGTGGCTGCACCTGTCCTCATTATCCTAGGATAGTTTTTTTTTTTATCTGTATATGTGAGTACCAACACGCTTACGGACTATACAGAAAAAAAGAATCAATCGAAAACGATCCCCCACTCACGGTGCCCGAAATATTATAGGAATACCCACCTAATAAACTTAACACGAGTTGTCATCTAAATGGACGTGAACAAATCGAATGACAGACGCGCGTGTGACCAAGAAAATTGATTTATGCAAGTAAAGAAGATTTTTTTTTTTATATATATATAAAACCAGTTGTAGACCAAACGGTTTGTTTTTTGTGCGAAACTAAATTCCGTCCGTATAATATACACCAACTAAATAATTACTGCATTCAAAACCGTTTCGTTATAATGTATAGAGAAATGCACGTCAATAAACGTTTCGACCTCGGCGGATAAATTGTTATTGCAATATAATGCGACCATCAACAGGGTTAAACGGTTTAAATAGTTTTAAATCGCGACGATAATAAATTGTTTTGCAGCGCAGTCGTACCATTTTTCGTTTCACTATTATAATATTATTATATTATACAGTCATCGGTGCGACCTTTGCGCAATACGGTCGTCAATGACGACGAATTTTTAAATGGATATTTTGGTTACATGCAACACCTATACAGTTTACAGGTGACTCCCGTGATATTTCACCGGAGGTCAATATTTATTATAGTGATATTTGACCGGGAGGGGTAGGGTATAGTTTTACTGAAGTAACTGAAACATTTGCCAAACCAATTTGTGTTTAAATAAACAAAAATAAATTGTTGAATATATATTAAGAATTTCGAAAATATTTCATAGTATAGTATAATATTCATAATATTATCGGGCGAAAAATCAACCAGTATCAAGGTATACCATAAAAAAAAAAAAATCTATTAATTTAACTAAAAATCTAAAATCTCTAATTTCTACTAGTCTAAACAGTCTTCTACGTGGAGAAAATAAAGTATAAACACTTACATTATTGTAAAACTAATAGCTTCACATTAGCTATAGGTACACTCAGAATCCAAAATCACTCAAATTTTTAAAATAAAGAGTTAAGTTTTTTTTTCTTTTAATACAGTTATCCTGTGTTTTAATAATTATTTTCAATAAAGCTTATTGAAATATTAAAAATTAATCACACGATGTCTATAATTGAAAACATAGGCTCTGGAATTTCTATTATTCTTCTCCAAGATACAGCACTTGTCAGAGTTCAATTAATGAATCCATTCGCATAATAAACAAATATCGAGTTTGGTGATTTATGAATTGTCTAGGAGTTCATGTTTAGAGTTTTTTCTTTATAACGGTGACGTGTTTATATGCATTCTTGACAAGTATTTTTTATTTTGATTTGTTGTTCTGGTTTCAGTGATGCCTAATAAGATTTGAATTGCCTTACTCACAGTCATAGGTTTTTTTATTATTATTTTAATTATACATAAAATCGTTTTTAAATTGAAGCACAGCGCTTTATTTTCCTCTTTTGTGAACAAAAATACAATGTTTTAAAAATACAAACAGCCTGTTAATTAAAAATGTAATTTATACCCCTTACATTTTGTCTGTGTAACGCAGGCAATCCGCAATGTATGTTTCGGTAATGTTAACATCTGAAACTACTATCTCATACCTCGTATTAAAGGCTAACACAATATAACCGCAAAATTATTCGTAGTCACTCCCTACCACTCATTAAATTTATCAATTGAGACAATTTGGCAGTATGATAATAATTGCATGATCAGGCGTATCTTACAAGTCCATGATCGGATTTTAATCAAACTTATACGGAACTACGGAAGTATAATATAATATTCTCCCAGAAACGAAAATAAAATATTTCCCAAACTGATAGGTACATATTTGACAGAGATATGCGTGAACACGCCAAAAAAAAAAAAACAATCCAGAGCTGATACTGACTACTACTGATGGGTGAGCCACTGTTGTAGGTGGGAAGATAAGAATATAGAAAACATAAAGTTATTTAATTTATATCTGTACGCAGCGATTAATCATTAATAACGAAATACGATTCTGGATGAAGTTCGGTTAAACATGGTTTGATAGTTTTAACATAAAATGTTTATAAAAACTACTACATTAAGTTTAACTTTTATTTATGATAAATCTCGCGTTCAATTTTCAAACATTTCTACTTGAAAAAAAAACAGTTTTATCTATATAGAACTAAATGTCAAATGTCTATAAATAACTACAAATTAATCAGAATGGTTAAAACATTATATCACGCCTATAAAAAGCTAATCTAAGGTAGGTATTCTATGAGCATTTCAGATCTCTGCGATGGTTATTTTTAACCGAATACAACAAAATAACGAAATCGAAAGTAATGAAATCGTTATTGCCGTAAATTCTCGCGTTTTTTCTACGTTTGTCCCATTTATTTTCCACGTTATTTTAACCAATCTAAAAATGACTTCCCAATGCACAAACTAAAAGGATTTTCTTTGAGAAAAGATGCTATACTTGAAAATCTTGGCAATATTTCTGGTAGAATAATTGTGTTCACAGACACAAACATTTAAAAAACACTTAACACACATCACATTATGGGCCCCCACAGGAACCTGTTCAGTGGGGCCCATTATCTTTTCAAAGAAATAAACAATAATAATAATAATAATAATATTATCCACTACTACCACTAAAATCTAAATTACACTATACGAATTGATGAGAAGTCCTTTTTTTTTTTTGAAGTCTGTTAAAGTTGGAGCACATTCCGCGTTTTCAGCAATCAAATCGTTGTTATAATATTTTACGCGAAACCGATTGCATTTGTACTAAATATATGTTACGAGTAAAATAACAATTTAGGTGTTTTTGACAATGCCAGGATTTTATTTGATACGTCTATCATTTATCGGACAGAATAATTGATGTTTTATTTAACAACAAAAATAAGTAATAACTAAGGTTGAGGGTTTTTAGTTTTGTTCATATCTGTCTAAAAAGGTTGCAAAATAATGCGACTGATGTATAATTACGTTTTATAACACGTTATATTTAAAATTTATTGTGTACATTTTGTCGTTATTGCATATAAATGCATATTTGAATACATTAGACAAATTAAGAACGTATATTATACATATTAATACACATTTCGATATTAGATATAAACGATTTAATTATAATATGTCGTGTATAGTAGTGGGCTGTATAAATATTATTTGTTTATTAAACATTTTTCAAATGTTTACCAATATACCTAAAATGTTAATGTTATCGGTTAGCTAATTCACTATCTGGTAGATAACGCTGTGACGCGTGCAGGACTTAAGTTGTCCGTAATATTTTATCGCGCACTGTTGTTTAATTTTTTTTTCGTATAAATATTATTAGGTATAATATTGAGCCATTAAAGTATCATATTTTATATGTTAGATATTTTAGAGCATATTTTAAATGCTTAAGTGCATACGTATGTTGAGGATTTTAAGTTCTCAGCCCTAGACTTGTAAAGTAATAATCCTCCATACTCAACTGATTGTCCGGATGCGGTCCGGGTCGCAAATACGATTGAACTATAATAATAATTTTCGTTTTCAGTATCGTAATGCCACGATTGATAAGATCTACATTTTACCTATAGATTTGTCCTCGTACAATTTACAATTTAGTCAAATATATTATCATTTGCATTATGCAGTTCACGTGCGTATTTATGTCTCAAGTTTATTAAATATGAAAAAATGTAATGCAAATTTAAACGTTCTGTTGAAAAAAAAATGTTCAAATACAGGTTGTTTAACGAATTTTTAATATGATAAATTAATTGCACACATAATTCATTTAAACAAAAAATAATAATAATAATAATAAAACCAATTGATCATAAACTTATGAAAAAATATGAACATAATCGAAATTGTCCAATTTGGGTGATCAGGTCTATGGCCGATGTACACGCGCACATTAATGTAAAACACGGAAGTTGCAACGCAGCGGAATGACTATATACATGCACATCAAAACGCCATAAGAGAGCAGTACGTGCGAAAATGAGCAATCATTAAAAATACAAATTATACAAATTTTGTTAGAATGAAAAAAATTATGTTTATAAAAACTAAAAATACTGTGTTATCGAAATTCTAATAAATAATAGTATCCTTTATTATACAGTGAGTATATTATGTAAATTAATATCTAAATGACTGAATAATCGAATCTAATAAATAAATAAATTACAAGTTAATATTACCTACAAAATGTGCATTTTTCAATATATGAAGGGGCGTTTTATATAAACCCCCGAGCATTGTACATTAAGATACCCGGACAATGTAGACAACGCCCAAATTGTTTACTTTGCCGAAAGCATTATAATATAATATCAGTAGCGTAGCCAGGATTTGTCAATGGGGAGAGGGGGCCAAAATCCACTGCAAAATCATATGTTTTTCTGTTAACGCGTTAATGTCCCTGATTATATATAAGGTGTTCCACGAAGATATACCCATCACAATATCTCCTGAAATAATAAAGATAATCGAATTCTGTTTTTTTTTTTTTTATATATATATATATATATTACCCACGGGGATAAGGACTATTTGAATTAAATATTTATGTTTTGGAGACTACAATGGGTATATCTTCGAGGAATACTCTGTTCTATACGTCTTACTTAATCAATCAAATATGAAAATAAACCACACATATTATATACATGCACTGTAAAGTAACATATAAACATGGGACATTTGTGACAAAAAGAATACAGTAAACGGGAAGGGCCTCCCATGGCCATGTGCCACTGATTAGGCGGTGTCAAAAAAAAAAAGTCATCAGTGTAAGTACCTGTATAATATAGGCGAATATGTTCGGTGCCGAAGAAGAGCGAGTACAATAAAACTGAAAATTTCACCTGGTGCACGATTTTTACAATGTTATTGTAGTCGTAACAAACCGTGTACATCGAAATCCTTATTAGTAGTTCGTATAATACATAGTATGGCGTACTTACATATTATTAATATTATGCAAACGATGTTTACGGACACAATGTAAGTGTGGTTTTTTTTCCCCATGATTCCCAGCGTGTGCGTGTGTGTGTTTGTGTATGTATTACGCGAGTAAAAAACTCACTCTCGTCATAATAATATTGTATAATACCCGTTTCGTTAAAAAAAAAAATAAACAAGGAATCCGTACAATCGGGCCCTGCAATAATGTAACATAATATTACATTATATTTTGTGTTACCGTGCGCAATTTACGCGTTTTTTTTCAGCATCGTTTATTATTATTTTCGTATAATATTGTATAATGAAGTTCGACGACGCGGAAAACGAAAAATGTCGTTTATTGTTGAGCCGCTCCCTCTCTGCTTCAGTACCTCATGTTATTATTGCCATTACGCACATACAATATAAAAATATTTTAATAAACGTGCAAAATTGTATGCTAATAGAGTACCTCCTACCTATCTATACATACTATTATTAAGCAGGCAATGTAAAATAATAACGACTGGGGAAAAACGAAGCGAACGATTTTTGCGGATGAAAAAAAAAAACGCGACGACCGTAATAAAATAACAATACGAATTTCCTAAAACGCCTGCCGGAAATGTCGGGCAAACTGAGTTGATGGGATTGCTTTGCTATACCCGTTCGCGTATTATTACCACCGCTGACAGAAAACAATATTGCGATTTTACTTCTGAAGAAATAAATATAATATTGTTTGCATCAAAATTAAACAGTGCTACCAACTAACGTTGTGGTATTAAAATATAATATGATAAACAAAGCCGTCAAATTTCGCACCATTAGACACTAGGCAGGTCACTGTTGTAAACGGGAAAGTTTAATAGGTATAATAGTACCTATCAGGTAGTATTATAACTCTGAAAACTATCGAAAAATCATTGTAATTAAAAAGAAAGATTGTGAACGGAGCTAGATAAAATTAAACCTCATAGAATAAACTGATGAGATTACATAGTATTGGTCGTGTATTTTTTCCCTTGTAATCAAGGTAACTCAAATGGAATAAAATCAATTTATTGTTATGAGTTGTCAGATTTTGTTTAAAAATATATATATACATATAAAGAAAACTACTGGAAACTAAAAAAATTGTTCAAATAAAGCCGGGGGGGAAATCCGCATTTTTCAAGTTACGCTGTGAACAGTTTGGAACGTTTTTACTAACTGAGAATATGTTTAGTAAAACTAATAAATCGTTCGCTATAACACTGGAAAACTAAAAGCTACACATTTAAATTTAGCTACATTATTATCCTAGATTTTCTACAAAATTATCAAAATCTAAAAAACCAAAAAAAATCCCAATACGAGGTAATAATATCGTATTTTTGTGAAACTAAAAGATTCCTCTCTTTCAAAATTTAAACAAAAATTACTTATAATAACACATAGTAATAGTTTTTAGTGGAAAAGTACTAAAAGGTACGCTTTTGATGGAAAAGGGTATCGTCCTATAATATTACATCAGACAGACAGACAGACAGTCCTTTGAAAACCTAGGACGAGAATTTTAACACCGAACGTTACACATTTTATATATATATATTTATTTTTTATTTTAAAAAATCAATAATGCAATTTAGCGTGTTGCAGTAACCATGGCAGCGGCGGCGGTGACGACGGCGACGGCGACGGCAGCAGCGGCGGCGGCGGCGACGGCGGCGGCGACGGCGTAGTTCGGAGTTTGAAAATCCGACCGTAAAATAATAATATTTATTATTGAAACTCGACGAGCGTCAAGGAGATCACGCCCTCGAAAACTCCCCCCAAAAAATAACAATATTCAAATTTCGGCCTAATAATTAGATTGAGTATTTTATTTTTTTGTTTTGTTTATATTTTTAATTGAACATCGGTGTATGCATACAATTTAACAGATATATATATTTTTTTAAAACCATCCCTCGTCCTCGGACCTATAAAATATAAAGCGGACTTGAGTAGTCGTCGCTTTGGCGCTGATAGTGTTCGCCCATGTTGCAATTGTACATCGCGTTGATTTTCCGCAAATCGTTAACCGTGGCCCCGGCCCTCTGTCCGAGTTTCATGCTGGTGTCATGCTTGAACCGAAAAAAAATATACATAAATTGCAAAATTAATTTAAGTGTTTATATTTCGAATCGCTAGAAATTTCGTCGGTATTGCTGATCAATATTATTATTGTTTAAAAAAATAATAACCGAAGGAGTATTATTTTAAAAAGGTAACTAGTTTCGACCACAGACCATCATCAGGTTACAGAAAAAAATAAATCACGAATACAGTAACAATGATTAATGGTGAAATTACATACATACCTACATAAATCTTGCCATTAATCTTTGTTACTGCAGTATTCATGATTTATTTATTATTTTTTCATAACCTGACGATGGCCTATGGCCGAAACTACTCATTATCTTTTTTAAAAAAAAAAAAAAAATAATACCATTGGCTATTTATAAGACTATATTTTTCTATTTTTGTTTATTACAATTATTGTTATTGTTTTTATCGGTCGATGATTAAAATATTCTATACATAATATTAATCGAAAAAACGAAAATATTATTCGACTACCCAAATCTAATTATTCCATCGGTTAATGTATCATAGTATCTACCGCGGATTTTCAAGGCATATTTGCTAATTTGTACTAGTTTGAAAACGAAATTTTCTATACAGTAGGTACATTTGATTTGTAGGTAAAAGAATATACATAACGTTTTATTTTGCTTCTTTGTGTAAATTTTGGATTTTACATTTTTTTGTCGTTTACAACTACTAATAGTACTAATTATTAAAAAAAAATCCTATTTGTAGTTTAAACATTATTTACTTTGTAAAACTTAACTGTCTTATTCTAAAGACTTTTTCTACAGTTAATTTATTTTTCGAAATGTATTCCCTCACTTTATCGTTAATATGGTTTTGGGCTAAACACATATTTTTTTTTGTCACGAGACCGATTTTGCAACACTACGCAACACAACGCCCCGTAAAAATACACTAGCAATAACAATAAACAAATTAATAATAATGTTTTACAAAACATAATTAAACTATATTATACTTTTAGTATTAAAATCTTAACAGCAAAAAATTCTGACCAGCTGTTCTGAATCATAATAAATTTTAACCTAGGTATCTATTAATAATTAGCGTTATCGATAGTAAGTTATAAATCGGAACATTTGCAATACCGAGAAATGATCGTAAGTGGATGGGAGGAGAAGGAGTAAGTAATAGTCTTTAAAGTGGAAGAAATGAAGAGGTATAGAATGGGAGACAAAAGAAATCGTTAATGAAATGTAGGTATATGGAAGGAAAAAATTAGGCTGGAGCGGAAAGCGAAATAAGCCGAAAACGTTGGTATGATGGTGGAAGAAAAGAGCAGTGAGAGCACGGAGAGGATATTTTGAAATTGAAGTAGGTTTAATTTAGTCATATCATCTTCTGAGCCCGAAAACATATCCACGATTAATGATTTTATGTTTTTAAAATTTCTTGGATTCTTAATCGGTATCAAAATCGCCTACTACGTTTAGTCAATCTGCCGTATTCGTCGCTTTTCTCGCGAAAAAGTCTGCTTCGAGCACTCGTCAGACGGTCCTACCCGCGACCGTTCCCAATAGAGTTTTTTCGTATATAATAATTGAAGATAAACTTTTCCATCGATTTTCGACGACGAAAATATACAACGGCTCGTTCAAGAGCGGGGTCGTTAATTGAATTTCAAAGTTTAGTTAAGGGTCGCCATTTTTCTTTTCTTCGTCACGTTATGGAAAATTCGATAAAATCGCTCGCCAACAATAATATAGTATTACGGTAAAATTATACATTATTTAAATTTATTGTAATAACTTTGCAATCGTTCAAAAAAACTATATACGTACATAAACCGAGTTATTTATACTTAACGAATCGTATATTGGTACTAATTTTAGACTAGAAAGTAATAAAAACATTTATAATGATTTCACAACTTGACCGAGTACACAAGTCAAAAATGAAAAAAATACACGGATATATAATATTACAAAACACTAAAAAGTAGTTGCCGATATAAAAATACATTATTTTTAATATTACTCGTTTAATTCTAAAATACATTTTCAATTTATCTTATATCATTTCGGAATATTCTAATAATAGTGATCTTTGTTGTGATAGTTTAAATTAAGAAAAAATAAACAAACTGACAAACTATCTTTTTTTCTCTTCTTTTTTTTATACGTATTTACGTATTCATTGGGACAGAAAAGCGGTACGTATATTTTTTTAATTTTTACACTATTCATATAAATTATTCCGTTTCGGAATGAGATTATTATTAAGTTGTTGTTTGGAGCACAAAAACCGAATTCCTAACAAAAATCGTTTCGTTAATATATCCGATATACTAATATATATATTTATATAAACGATTTATCTCCCAGCGATGAACTATGGTCGTCAAATTGCGCGTATTAAACCCTCATCCATCCCTTATGTGGATAAAAACGGTTATAACCGTCACCTTACCTTGGCCACGATAGTTTCCTTTCCGTTTTTCGAAAACGCGTACCGCGGGTAATGCATCACGCTGGTGTAGTCGTAGGGGAGCCCGAATGTGGTCGTGACGTTGTCGGGCACTTTGTTAAAGTCGGGCCAATATGCTGAAACCCGAAACACAAGAAATTCAATTAAAACAGAACGTGCCAATACTAGCCGCCAATTAAAATATCCCGAACCCGACGATTTGTCAGTGAAATGAACCGGAATCTCTGTTCGTGATTAAATGAGGTTTCCGGACGAACGGATGTAATAATATTATTGGACGGTTTACATAAATTATAATTCTGGGTGTACACACGCATTGCGAAATGACAATTGGAGTACGCTTTACAGACTGTAGAAAAAGGGTGGCGAACAAAAACGAAAGGAATACGCCGAAACCAACGGAATGTGCAATACGTATTATGAATAATATAGCTCATAACCGCACGTGGACCGTGAGGAACTGACATAATATACATTTTAGTCTTGTGTAAACTACGGTCGATTGATACATCGCACATTGCATTCAGTGTATTTGGTATAAGACATCATATCTCGCGAAAAGTATTATTTTCGTATACGGCCAAAACGTACTAGGAGAAAATGTGTAAAATTTAAATAGTATACTTATAGCGAAATCTCAGAATGTGAAACAAAATTGGATGGAGGGGGGGGGCTAAAGCTACTTATGTCAAATTATTAAGCACGAATTATCGTCCGGTAAACTGAGTGCCGAAAATGGACGTGTAGTAAGTAAACCGAGTACAATCAATTTAAACATACTACGATAAGTAAACTTAGTACAAAAAAAATTTGATCTACGTTCTTGATCAGACACTCGAAATGCGTCCTACTATCCTTTTGTATGCGACTCATCCAGTCGATACATAAAAGGAATCGATTTGAAAAAAAAGGCTATATAAAAAAATAAAAACACCCGAGAGCTGGAGTCCAATTTTCCGTCAGTTGATTTTTACAAAACGTATATATTCTTTTCAAGAAAAAAAATAACAGAATATTGTAAAAATACAATTGTTATACTATGCTGCAATTATTATAAATATACAACTTCCAAAAAAATTGTGAAATTGCATCGCACAAATGGTAGAAATTAGATTGAAAGTACAAACCCTCAAAAGGCACATTCTTGATATTAATGCCTTGCATATACAAAAATTCATCCCCTGGCCTCATCGGGAGTCTGTAGGAGTGAATAAAGCTAAAAAACAAACCTATATCCACACTAACACGGTTAAAATTCATATTGAAATTCAACCCAACTTTTATCATTTTACAGCCTTTTACAGTTAATTACCTTATTCACGAATTTGAACTCATTTGGTCTAGAAAGAGCCGCTAGAAATGTTCAAAAGTGGCGGGAATAATATATATATATATATAACAGACATAGTATTTACAATACAATGCAATAGTCACAATTCGACAATAATTAATGTATAATATTTGCAATGATGAACGGCTTCTGAATTGTATGCCGGAATGGGTAGTCGGTGTTCAAATCCGAAATGAAAACAGTCCCGAATATGAAAAAGTGAGAAAGAAAATGTTCAAATGTTCCCAAATATTTGTATTAGTTTTTTAAGCCCGGAACTTGGCTAGTTAAACCCCGTCCTAACCGACTTTTTCGAAACCGAAGCGCTCGTTTACCCCCAATAAAGTAAATAAGACCAACCCCGATAAATACAACTGCAAATAAGCTTCTGTATATATTATATTGGAAACGTTTCGCTGTAAATACATAATTTTTACATACCACGTATTATTTTTGTATTCAAATTCGGATTTTCCGCATGCGGTTATTTTTTATAATTACGATTTATGAGAAATGTGATAATTATTATTTCAATAATTCAAATCCGTTTGAAGAGCGCCTACGCGAAAAATAACGAAATTGATACCGGATTAAACACATGTATACATGATATTGTTATAACATCAGAACTGTGTGCGGAAAACACAATTTCCGTTATATTATAATTAAACCTTCTTTGGTGTACGAATCTTAAAGATTGTACGTTTATTTTCGGCTCTCCGCGTATGAATAATATAAGATCAAAATTAACTGTTTTTGACACGTTCAATATATATATATATATGCACATATATTATATGCGTAGGTAGATACACAAATAGGTACTACGACGTTAATAAATATTAACAACGTTTACTCGAAAACATTTCCCCCCCGCAATATGATGTCGTTTCCAGACTACGGAAAACGAATTATTATTAAATATTATTATTATTATTATTACTACCGCTGCTACTGCTGCTATAAACACTTTACGCTGCAGCGATTTCCCGGAGGCGCGCACGGAAACGACGAGACGATCAAAGTTCTTGGGCGTATCTATAATATGCTTCCGGAAAACGGAAAAACAAAGATGAAAGGGCGAACCGGCTGCCGCGATGGAGTCTGCGGATGATAATATTATATTGCAAGTGTATAGGTATGGTATACTTTAACGTTCTGCCGGAGGTTATTTATATATACATTTTGCCGGCGTTTAAATACGAGAGAGACAGGTACCTACCACGTTCTAATAAACGCCGCGAGCATAGGGTATTTATGTAATAATAATATATTGTATAATTTACGGAGGAGATCAAAAGAAAAGACGCAGCCCACGATGGGTTAAATATTATTGACATTTTCGAGTCTGGCTCCCCTTTCTCCCACTTCCGCCGCAGCCGCATCAAAGAAAAACGAACGTTAATATTATGACAATGATACTTGCGTAGGTAGACTGATAATAATAAATAACAAGTGTAACGCGTAATAATAAGTAATAATAATTGTAATCATTTTGTATTATACGGGAAAAAAATAGGCCTAACTATATCGTAGGTAGAAAGTCTGGAAGGTATCATTTAGGTGTCGTACTAGGTATATATTTATATGTAGGACATACACAGAGTAATAATTCAGTTGATACTAATGCAATGATATATCGTTACAACGTCTAAAAACGATTCCGAGAGAGAGCCCGCGGTTAACTTTACTGGTTTCTCCAGTTTTCCTCCTGATATTAGAAAAAACGTTAACGAATTCGGAAACTTACTCAAATTATAATATGGACCCGCTGCGGGTCTTAGGTCTATAATATTAATACGACGTCGAACGAAGAGTGTCCCCCCGCGTAGCGAATGCTCGTCACAATCGTAACCGTCAAACTTTAAAATTAATTATTATCATTATTGAGTATTAAGTATTTATTAAGTTTCGATTTTACATTAATAAATTAACATTGGTTTTCGCATTAAAAACCACACATATTAGCAAAAATAATATTAAATCCTCTGCACTACAATCACGGAATCTAAAATTTGAAAAGAAAAATAAAAATACGAAAATCGTTTCGTTACTTTTGTCAATGTTTTCCCAGTAGATAATCACCGCGTTGTCACGGTCTCGCCGGGCCTGCTCGTGAAGCAATCCGAGGACGTGTAGTAGCTCGTGCTGTATAGTGCCCTGATGGGTGAGGCATGACGGAGATTCTAAGTTCATCGTGTGCGCCGAACCAAAATTCTGGTGATAACCGATCATGGCGTAACACCCCCGGGTCCGTTCCCGGACTATGTAAAGGTACTCGGCGTGTCCGACCTCCGCGACCGCGGCGCTGTTGTTCTTGTCCACGAACCGCACACAAGTCCTAGACTCGATCGCGTCCATAGCCAACCGGATTTTGGACCGTTCGTCTGATGCTGTAGACACGATATATTGTGATATAAATCCGATAAAATTACGTTTATTGTTATTATTTATTTTTCGGTGGTTAGTTAATTATATCGGTCAACGTCTTAAATATATAGGTAGATACATAAGGATATTGATGACTGTTACATAGTAGTGCCACCCGCTGTAAACAAAAACATTAGGGTTATTATATTTAAGGTGTTATAATAATTTTATCTATTTCCAATGACTCTGTGTAAAATATTTTAGGGATTAATGATTAATTAACTGGCACACTGGTGTTCGACATTTTCATGGGGAGACGGTTGGTTTCGTGAAATTTATTAATTTTGGTAAACTTGTCTGCAACTTTTCGGTGATTTAACGTTTCAAAAATAATTCAATTTCGGACTATTACCGGTACCTAACTAAAATGTCAACCGTCAACGATATATTTTAACGGCAAATCTCGTATCGTGACATGACAATCAGATGAACATATTGAAAAGGATATTCGTATCTATATACGAAAAATGTTTAAATTAGATTTCCCAACATTGCCGGGCACGTTTAGTATATTTATATAATATAAAGCTGCATACACGAAAGTCGCGATTTACGCTAAACCTTTTTAAATACTGTTAAAAAGCTTTTAACGTGAACGAAAAATAAAGAGCTGATACTGCTAATGAGTGTGTCCATATTGTAGGAGGAAAAATAAAAAGATAGGATCGGTATCTATACACAGTTATTTAATTTTTATCTGTATATTAACGAAATACCCAATCTAAGTTAAGTTTGATTAAACATGTTTTTAAATTCTATGATTTTAACGGTTTTCGTCAAAATTTAAACTTAAAACGTGTACATAAAAAAATACTATTAAATTAAGCTAACTTATGATAAACCTCTTAAAATCTTTAAACATTTTTGATCGATAAAACAATTTGATCTTCATACCACCAAATTATAACTAAAAAACTTGAAAATAACATATTATGCCTGTAAACAGCTCAAAAATCTCTAGAATTTTCGACGTCCAGGAAAGTCAAATTACAGTACTCATTGAAAATGTCAAGTCTTTACGAATATTAGGTTCCGAGTGGAGCAAGGAATGTGTTTGTTTTGCTCTGATAAAAGTGCGATTTCTTTTTTTTTTCTTTTATATTTTTGGGAAAGTGAACAACGTTTCTACCGAAAACTTTTCACCAATAAAAAAACTACAAAAGAACTTGGAGTCTAATTTCACCCTTTATATTCTTTCTGTGTACTTATCAAAAATTAATAGAATTTCATACATTTGTTCACTGAAGTGACTTTTGGTCCATTAAAATACTTGATAAGGAAATTTTTTTTTCTAAATTAGGATTTAAGAATTTTAGAAAATGAACATTCTATGATGAAACATTTAATAATCTCTTAGTAGCCACCCTCATGGTGAAAAACATTATAACTTACTGAAATTAAAATGTATTGTATACGGAACAACTGCTTTCGGCCATTTGTAATACTCTGAAATTATGGCATTTCTGGAAACAGGCAACATTATATCTCCCTGGTATAGCCGTGATTTTAATTCTGGGTACATATCTACAAAAAAAAAAAATAAATAACAAACAGAAAAAAACACCCATGAACTACAGAACTTTGTCACTAGAGCCAAATTCCTATTTTATAGTATAGTAATAAATAATACATTAAATACTTAAATTTAATCATACAAATAGGTTGAAAATTGTAACTCCCAAAAGGCAGATCATTGATACTAACGTCATGTATATACAAAATGTTATGCCCTGGCTTCTTTTAAGGTGTCTATAGGGATGTTTAAAACTAGAAAATATCCTACCCTCACAACAACATAGTGAAATTTAACCCAACTTTTATCACTTTAATCTGCCAAGCAAACAACTCTAAACCTAAGTTTGAACTTATTTGGTTAAAAGTGAACCACTTAAAATGTCTAAAAGTAGAGGAAAGAAATATGTTCAAATTATTAAATTTTTTAAGCAAAATAAACACAGTGTGACCCACCTACATGTGAAATATGTTGGTCTTTTTATAAACAATTTGAAAATAATATGTCCTTTCTGCATTAAGCTATCTATAATATAGCGTATCCAATATGGTACATGCATTAGTCTTTATTTTCTGGGAACTGTAGTCCATTAATCAAAGAACAACTGATATTCATATTATAGATTCTGAGTGGAGCAAAGAAGCTTATGGTTTTACAAATATGTTGCGTTGGGAGGTACTTTAGAAAGGTAATTTTTCAATTTTCTCAGGAATTTTCTCATCAAATATGAAAAACAGAAAAAAACAAAGAAAAATAGGAAAATTTAAGAAATGTATGAATTAGTTAAAAAATAATATTACATAGGAAAAACTCGAATAGCGGTGCAACATTAAATAAATATTATTAAAGAAACTATATAATGTTTATTTAATTATTTTACTATTATATAACAAAGCATCATTATCAATTGAGCTCCACTCAGAATCGTTTTATCGTTAGCAATGGTTTATCGTTGTTTACAGGTATACGTTAAATTACCTATAACAGTGGTTGTACCCATTTCCATTATCTTAAAAACCACCATAATGGTAACTATCCTTAAAAATCTATAATACAACTATTTGATTAACTAGATCAAATCATAATTTATGAAATGAAAATACACTGTACAAAATATTAAAATATTTTTGTAAAAAAAATTAATTAAAAGTATTTAACAAAAAAAATAATGCATACCTAGTACTTATAGAGTGATAGGTACCTAGTACCTGAAGTACTTGAAGTAGCTCACATGCCAATATAATATTGTTTTTAAAACATTATAATACCAAAAATAAATAATATTTCATATTTAAATTTTATAATTTATTTATAACATTATTCAGTCAGACTCTAACTGTATTTACTACCTGTAAAGTGTAAAGCTGTATCATAATAATTATAATAACAAATAACAATAACAATAAAAACAATTCATGATTTAAAATTATCAGCTTAACACTTACAGCCAGCAAATTACAACAGGAAAATTTCATACTTTTGGAAGAAAAAAATAAGCTTTAAGAATTTCAATATAATTAAAATTAAAAATGAACAATTAAGATATTTGTTATGTTTAAGTAAAAATTTCATCTCAAATTATTCAATACTGAGTAGATCATTAGATAAAACTCGTGAAAATAGCCCGTCCGTTCAAAAAATAGTATACTAATTATAACTATTTACTAGTATAAATTAAAATATAGTCTAATAATTATGAATTGATGATATTATATTATTAAAAAATAAATTACCAAAATCAAAAGATTTTTTTTTGACTGTTGGTTCCACGTGACAAAAAAAAAACAACTAAAACTAACTTAACTGTGCAATAATGATAATTAACTATAAAAATTTAAGCTAAATTAATAATACAAAGTTTAACTGAAAAATTTAATAAATTAAAAACAAAAACAACTAACAAGTTAAATTAAAAAGCTAAAAATTGTACTTTTCGACTTAATTTTAACTTAACTTTAACAAGCTAATGCCCGCCTTTGTCTATAATAATATCATAGACGTAACTAGGGGGTCTTGGAGGACTCAGCGCCTCTAAATATTTCCATAGCCCTCCCAGATTAAAATAATGAATCTCAGAATTTTGTGGTAAAATCTAATCATCTATACCTATATATAATCTCATTATAAAAATTAATTATTGTTATTCGGTGTAACTATAAACAGCGTATTGTAACAATGGTTTTTTTACATGGTTTTTTATTTTCGACATAGTTTTTATTATCTATGATGGTCTAAATCGTTTACATATAATATGTCTATTATATATTTATGGTTTAAATAACCCGAACGCCTCAAGCTAATGTTTATGTCCATTGCCCGTTATGATATTGTTGTTAATACGGCTTTTGAGAATACTATCTAAAACCGTGGTTGATACGAGTAATAATATAATGATAAATAATAATACTTCAATTTATTATATCTTTTAGATCACGAGATCTGTATTCATGACAAAATCTATTTTGTCCGTAATATATTGCTTTTATCAAGAAACTTTACAAGACCTGTTTACAAATTTGGCCCCCATGAATAGTATAATAACATCAACGAATGATATTAACTCGAAATGTACGTATAGGTGATTCTGAGGATCGCTCTGTACAAAACATTTAATAGAAATAATAGCACAAAGATTAAAAAATATTGTGGTCAGGTATTGTTTTTCGTTTTTGCGGGTTTTACAGCAACGACAATAATAAGGCTCTGCATTATGGTATTTATTTTTATTTCCGTTATTTACTTGTCTAATACAATTATTTGTCGTTTTAGGATTATAACTACGCCATGGTATTAAACTCTGTAACTATTGGATTATAAATAAATAACTAAACAAATAATTGAGGAATTACTGAGTACGAGGTACCGATCATATCTTAATATATCTTAATATTAATAGGACGTCGTGATACCACCCGTACATAAGAGGTTGCATAAAGGCTATTTTCACACACATTTAAAAAAAAATCGGAATTCATCAACTCAACAATTTTCACTTTCAAATAAATATACAAACAGTCCCGTGTTTAAATTTATTCGTCTAATTAAGGTATAAGCCAGAATATTTTTAGAGGGAAACCATTTCACTCTGGACAACTCAATACTTTTTTATAGTTGAATTACCGACAATTCAAAGCACTTATAGATAACAATTCTATAATATATGTCTTAGCATACCTATCTATCATTTCCTCAACATAAATACTGCAAATGTTAAAAAAGTGTTAAAATCATTTATTTGTAAACTTTCGTTTTTACTGGTTTTATTACGATGTAAGTTGATTTTTTTTTTTTTTTTTTTTGTGGGTCTGTGAACGTTTCTACCAGAAATCTTACTCATATGTATAGCACCTTTTCTGAAATTAAATTTTATCTAGTTAGTACATTAGAGAGATTTTTTTATTTACCAAGGGATTTTCAAAATAATTGCACTACGGCGTTACCGATTTCATTGTTTTTAATTTTTAATTTTAATTTTTTACTTCGACTTTTTTTGGATTATGTATACAGGATATTTTGACCATGAACTAGAGTGCACTGATTTGATGTGTGGACATATTTTTTACATACTTATTTTCCAAAATGTTGTTATGTAACTATTGAATTATCAGTTTATTAAGTATTTGCATTTAAATTTAAAAGAATAGAATACAATTGGGATGTCTAAAAAAATGATCACCTATGTTTTGTAGATATCTAAAATTTAATTAATTACATTAATAAGAAATTATTAATTTTATACAATTAGAAATAATCAGTTTTTACATTATATATCTATGTTAAAATATTATATCTATGCATATCGATTTAACTAAAATAAATATGTTTTTTGAGAATTGTTATAAGCCTGTTAAGTGTATAAAAATGAATACATTTCAAAATTAAAGTTTTTTTTAAAACTCATTGACATAAGAATAAAATTTTGTTTCAAAAAATAAATTGTTTTAACTATTTAGATTATATTATTTAGGTAAACAAATTTAATTCATACTTTAATATAATACATATTCCATTTATCTTTGATAAAAAAAAAAACATCATGTATCTACTTAAATATATTAAACGTATAAATTTGGTATTAATTGAAACAGTATTAACAGTCATAAGCATAGCATACCAAACAGGTTTTTTTATACTTAAAATCCATTACTATTTACGGTTTTATATCTTTAACTTATTTACTGGATCATTAATAACCATAAATAACCGAGATGGATTAACTATTCACTAGTGAATAAATAATTTATTATACAAGGGTTACGAGCATTAGGCATTTAAATTATTGTATAGACAGATTATTTTTTTTATGTTGGTAACATCTCTAATACAAAAATTGAGTACAGATAGTTGTCAGAAAATTGATAAGGATAGAGATACAATAATTTTTGTATTAGGGGTGTTACCAAAGTAAAAAAAAAAATGATTTGCCTATGCAATAATTTAACGCTTAATGCTCGTAAACGTTGTATAATAAATTATGTATTCACTAGTGAATAGTTAATTCGGTTATTTATGGTTATTAATGATCCAGATTCAGAATGAGTTCGAGTTAAAACTTTAGTGCAATCATCACAAATTAATTAAGTTGTTAGTTTACGAATAATGAAGTTAGCAATATGTTCAATAATATCATTAACTACTTGCTGTAAAAAAACTAATTGATTATTATTCTTAAATAATCATAAATGAATGTCTTTATAATTGCTCGGATAGATGAGAAAATTTCTAGATGATTTTGGCTTTATAAATCCTAACCTGGCAACATGTGATTGTGATTAATCAAATGATGCACTCATTAAGTATGCCTAACAACTATTACTGCTAAAAATCACTGTTAGCCATCAGTGGCATAGCCTGTGTGCAGGCCTGGTTAGTCCAAGGCTAACCAAATTTCTCCAAAATTAACACAATTTTAAAATCTAACAGTTTCGTGAGTAATCTTTCTCATCCAAATATTTACATTGTTTTATCTAGCCTACTCTAAAAAATATTTCTATTTATGCCTCTGTTAGCCATCTATTCCTCTAGCAATAACAAACAATAAATCACAAAAAAATGGAAAAATCAATAATTGTAAGAAAATGTTTACACACTCAATGAGCTAACATTTAAAATGAAGTAAAAATACAACATTTTTAATAATAAAAAAAAAAATGCACATTTATTACAGAGATCAATTTATTTATATTTTAGATTTCCTATATTATGTTCAATTTGAATACCATAATATTCAAATGGATGAATGGTAATACAAGTGCATAGCTTTAAGTATAATTATGAAGGTTAAATAAACTAGGTATAACTATATAATATCAAGAAATTTATTTTATAAGAATTAAGAAATTATAAAGTTTTCAATTTTTTTAAAAATGTTCATGAAAATGAACTAGCTGTTACACATCATCTAACTAATATGCTCCTAATAAAGCTACTTGCTTTGTTGGTATATCTATACAACATTTAGGATATGGTCTTAGAGCTAATTTTACCCTTAGAAATTTTATAAAGCATATAGGTGAGGGAATATATACATATTTTCTTATCATATTTTACCAAGAGACAAGCATAAAAAATTGTATAATTAGGTATTGAAATGAAATATCAACTTTATGATCCAACTAAACAAAATATTGAAGTTTTATGCTTATAAAAACATCTTGATGATGAGTTGTTATACTTATGAGATACTCCTAATAAGGAGGTAGAGTACATTTGATGAAAATATAGAAGTTGAATAATTACCCGAAAGAACACATGTACCAGTTAAGACTATATTAGTAAAATTAATAATTATTACTAAAAATATAATATTATAACTCTTTATTACAACTTATTTTTTGTTTAGGTAAAATTAAAACTGAGACCGTGCACGGGGGGAAAAGAAAAATATGAAGGGATTGGCCAGTTTAAAACTAGCAGAACGAATTTATAAAATAGCCGAAAAATTAGTAACACCCTGAGAAACATATGATATAAATAAAATAATATAGGTAAATTAGATTAATTATATTTTCTAAAATTAGCTTAATAATTTAAATTGTTATAGTTTTCAATTAATACTTGGTTTTTTTATAGATAAAACAATACCAGAAGAACAAAAAAAATATTCGCTAAAGTTTACTCAGATTAAAATTCCATGAAATTTACGTAATACGGAAGAAACAGAAACGAAAAACATTATTTATTAAACCCACCAAAAATTAATATAATTGAATGTATATTACATAAATTTAAATTTGTTGAATTTATTTATTTGAACTCATAAGTTTCAAAAAAATATATAAAATATTTTTTTTACATTCAAGATAGATAAATAATCTAACATAAAAACCTAAATGTCATAATTCAAGCCAGTTTGATAAACAAACTGTTTTATGTTTGTGCATTTCAAATTGGTTATTTATCATTTAAATAAAATCTATATACTTACTGGATTAAGAATAATAGAACCAATGAATAATTTGTTTAGATGTTATATTCTAGGCTCTAGCTAACCTGACAGAGAATTCTGACTTGATTTTCTTATGATTCTCAAAATACATAAAAAGTTAATATTTTAATGTTTTACTTGCTGTGATGTGTACAAATAATAGGAAAAACCTTAAGTTCACATTATTATAAAATGGACAATAATGGCATACAACTATACAAGTAACAAATTTTCATAAAATAAAATGTTTTTGTTAAATTGATTATAATGAAGAGAAAGTAATAATTGGGTTTTTTTTTTTTTTTGATCGAAAGGTATTACTTATTTAAATATATTTAGAGCATCCATACAAAAATAACATTTTTAGATGTATATTAAACATTACCAAATGTTTATTTATTTAAAAATTACATTAACTATATGATAATATACATCTCTATTTTTATGTTTGTCTAAATAAATGTGTTACATATTAGCAAAATATACAAAAGTTCAATTTTCACTTTTAATATGTATTAATATAATATTTGATGACATAGGCACTACATTTTTTTTGTAAGAATATGAACTTTTACAAAAAACTAATGTTTTAACTATGTTTTAATAAATAGAAAGGTGATTATTCATAACTAAGTATATAAAAAAAATGCACATTTTTTCTACTATTATCAATATAAATATAAATTGGATAGGGCAAAGTTAACAAAAAAAAAAGATATATATTATATATTCATATTCTTTTCTTGTAAAATTATTGTCGGTAAATACTCAAATTATAAATATGTTATAATAGAATAAAAAAGAAAAAATATTATTAAATTTCAAATTATAGTATTAAAATATTAAAAAATTCCGATATGAATATTCCTTTCAAAAATGAATGGTTTGACAAGTTCCCTGAAAAAAAATAATAATAATAATTTACATTCACAACATTTTTATTTGCATTATTAATTCAAATAGAGAACTTATATACAGAATGTTCCAAGAGGATTCGACAAATGCAATAACTTATGTTCTATTCAATATTTTTGATATACATTTTTTTTTAAAAATTATTACACCTCATTTTTTAGATTTTTAGAAAAATTTTGGTGGTTGACACTTTTGCTAAAGTATGGTCTTTTATTTTCCCAAATTTTTTTAAAATTTGAGTAATTTTTTTTTAACCATAACAATATTGTTTATTAACATAAATTACCGTTATTGTTAATTGAAACTACCTCATAACTCTAATATGACAATATTATTGCATGATATTAACTCATGGAAAAGAAAATTCTGACTAATAACTGATAACTGAATAATCACAATAAGTAATATTCACAATTGCAAAAACTTTGGAAAACCATAGAAAATTATAGTAGAGTTTTAAATCTTTTATTTAAATCCCCCTCCCCCTAAAAAAAAAATGTTTATATATAAACTGTACCGCTGAGGCATACTAATCATTTAAAATAAATGTATCTCAAAATTATTGTATAGAATAAAAGTTATGGCATTTGTCGAATCCTCGTAGGACACTCTGTATTATGTAATTACTTACATTTTAATATTCAAAATCTGATGGCAAATGGTACTTTACAGATGGTACTGCCACTTCTTTTCCATCAGAGTTGTTGCAGCATATATCAAAAACTAATGATTTGACATGAGGTTCAATCTTTTTTTGGAACATATGACATGAAATTTCAGATATTTTAGTATTGATCCGCTTTTCTTTCTTTTCTTTGGCCATTCTAGAGGAGTATAACAAACAAACTCCTTCGAAAACCATAGTAATTTCCAGTGCATATTTTTCTTTAAAGTAATTTATAAATTCCCCAAGTGTAAGTTCACCTTCTATTTCAAAACGGTCCCATAAAGTCCATTCAATACCATTACATTTAGACTTTGGTGCAGTTAATGGCTCAGAAAAACCAAAGAATGGTAGGGCTAAATTAATGAAACCATTTTTGTACTTTTTCAATTCCTTAATTCCCCAAGCCAATTTAATAAATTCTTGACAAGCCAGACCAGCAACAACTGATGACGTTGTAGCAATGGCTGGAATAATTTTACCACCAAAAAGTTTGGCTTCATCTCTTCCAGCAAGTTGAATTTCATAATTAATAGCTCTTAAATTAGATGCAGTCTTAAGAAAATCAATATGTAAATTATCATCTTCTTCAAATTTTAAAGGAACAATTTTAAAATCATTAAAAGAATCTACTGATGGTAAATCCTCTGGTTTAATATTTAGTTTATTTTTATTGAAATTTGATAACCCTTTTAATCTGCGATGTGAATTTCTTTTAGGAATCATTAAATTATTCTTTGGAACAAATTCAGGAATTTTTACTGAAGACACAACATTGGCTATATAGATACGATCTCTAATCTGGTTAATGTTATATGTTTCTGCCCTTAAATTGGCTGCTGTAAAAATATAGTCCAAATGCAATGTGTTATTTATATCAAACATGATTGGTTTAGGACAACGTTTGGGTTCCAACCAAAATGGATGCCCACTAGTTGTTGTTTTATCTGGTGGAAAATTTATTAAAAGTTGCTTGATTTGTTTATTAAATTGATCTTCAAACTGCAGTCTTGCCCATTCAATACAATCATCAAAATTTTTGGGGGATTCTGTCACTGACTTTCTAACAGTAGTTTCTGCTGATTGTAATCTGGATAAATATTTATTGCGTTGGGCAAGATTAGGGTTTTCTAAAATCCTTTTAATTTTTTTGGGAATTTCTGTAAATATTACATTAAAGAAATCTCTAGCCCATCGTAATGTATGTTCGGTAGTATACGGGAAACGTTCCAAAACACAAATTGGTATGTATTTTTCTGGAGCATCTTGGGATGAGCTATATGATTCAGTAAGCATTGGTAAAACAATTTGAGTATTGCCCTTTGTACCCAAAGTTCCAGACTCTAAAAGAGGTTTTTTATAGTAAACACAACGTCTATCCACGTATATACGAGCATTAACATTATCTAAAGCATTAGCCACGCCATCCAAATTATTGAAAAAAGTATCATTGTATGTCTGTTCTGTTTCTGGACAAACTTTATTTGTATGTGGATCCACGTTTACATTAGGATTCATTTGTTTTATAGCTTTGGCAGCTGTTTCTGATTTTGACGTTTGAACATCATGAGATCTAAACAAAAACTGTCTGTTTAAATTAGATTTTTCAATTAAATCCATGTCCGTTACAATAATTTTACCATTACCACACCCAACACCCATAATTGCAAAATTTTTTAACAATTCACAACCGATAGCTCCAGCTCCAACAACAAAATATTTCAGATTTCCTAAAATAGTTTGGAATTTTTGTCCATACACAGCTACTTGACCGTCATAACGATTACCAACAGGTTTAGCATCTTCTTCTGTGACTCTTTTAGGCAAAGTTTCTGTGGCATCAAAATAAAACCATTGAANGGCTAAATTTGCCAGAACATGATTTCATGACTTCTTGTGCTACAATACCACCAATAAAAGACGTCATAGGATTAATATTACCAGCACAAACGCTAGAAAAAGTTTTTATTAAATCGACATCAAGTTCAACAGAAGTTGTATTGACACTCTCAGTTAATTTTAAAAACGCATTAGCATCTTCTAAATTCCAGGGAGTAGGAAATCGACGGTTGACTGAAACAAACTTGTGTAAAGCTATAAATGCCAAATGCAATTGAGTTGGTCTATCACATTTACCAAAATCTGAAATTAGATATTCTGGTTCTTCTAAAGAATCTCCTAATGATTTGAAATTCAACTTTTTCGGCATTTTTACTTGTGTAGCAATACCACTTTTAATATAATCTGAATAAGACGTGGTGTCACCAATACTAAATGTATATGGTCCCAACACTGTAATTTTTTTTGGTTCGCAACCATTTATTTCAGTCATACCTTTTACGTCTTCAAAGGTTACATAATCTCCATCTTGGAAACCATGACGAGACTCTTCCAGGCACGTAACTATTCCTTGTTCATCCTTTGTAATTCCAGCCACCATTACAGAAATTGGGTTTTCACCAGTAGAGTCTATCACAACAAAATCCTCACCAAAGTCACAGAACACTTGTGAAAATACACCTCTTGTGTCAGCGATTATAAGAGCAATTCCATTTGGATGTGTAATATCTGATACGCGTAATTGTTCATCTAATGTGGCTTCTGTTAAAACTACTACTTTGAACTGCTTGATAAAAGAATCGGACAAAACTTCAGTGTATGCTTTAACTGGTACATATGAATTGAGTTCTGCCAACTTTGGGTAACTGACAACAGCCCTATTCTTTCCAATATCTTTTTCCGAAAAGTAGAACTGGGACGACAAGTCTCTGTAAGTACAAACAACGGAATCATGCAATGTGACGGATTTAACACCACCGAGTATGACATTCTTGGCAATTTCAACGCCCAATCCGCCAAGCCCACTGATTAGCACGTCGGATGAGGCCATTTTACGCATTGCATCATGACCCAAAACGTAAAGCTGACGCGAATAAAAACCCTCATCGATTTCTCCTACGCCGTTCTTAGACATTATTACCTGATTGACTGCCACAGAGTCAGAGGATACCACTGCAGACAATTCACCGAAAGCCAGTTTACGCTTCTCGGCCATCAGTTCACAGGTGGTGTCTAATACTTCAGCGCCAGACATCGAACAACAAAACCAAATCGTGGAATGCCTTTGTATCACAACGGTAACTATGATCACGGAACACGCGTAGTTTGATTTATCAGAATCCAATTACGTTTGACTATAGTGATTTGTGAATAAAAATAAAATATGATTAGTCATACTACGTACGACGCATGCATTTTTAATAACGGCGAATGAATAAAAATTATTTACTCCCAACAGCAAAGCACAAAATTATCACGTCGGAAATGACAAGTAAGAAATTGATCGTTTGTAAGTGGACCGTAACCACGAGGTTATAGATAATAAAGAAATCGATAGGCCACTCCTATAACAATTGTAAGAGGGGCGAAGTTCCCGGATGGGCGGAACGCGATAAACTGAAGCGTTTTATAAATTATAATTCAACACCATAATAGATAATAAAAAATCGATAAGCTATGTAGCTTTATCACATGTTCTCAAAAACACGGCTGGCCACCTAATATGCATTTTTTTATTCCATGAATACACTTTTACTTCCGAGTACAAAGCACGATGATAATATATTTAATTATTATATATTAAAAGTATTATTTTAAATTATAGACTATATAAAAGATACAAGGATAGAATGACAAAAATTATACTCGTTTTTTATTTATCATACGATTTAAGATACACCATATTGTGTTCCTTAATTCATTTGTGATGGCACCATGAAATATTAAAGGAACGTTATAAGTAGTGTTATCATGAAACCTAAATCTATAAATTTATAATAATAATAAAAATAAATAAATACTATAACTATTATCGGCTATCGCTATAAAAAAAATGAGATAACAAATACATTTAATCCACCACATCTCATCAAACGGGGAATGTTCCAATTATTAGAAAAAATGATAAGACGACAAGTTCACACAAGCGTCTGGAGACAGAAAATCCGAACGGCTACAAGATGGCCGATTACTACGTTATCATACAAACATTATCATTATCACATCGATGTATAAAATTATATTATTTTATAAAACGATGCATTATCATTTACAGCTTATCACCACTATTGTGCTCATCACTATATTTTTTACAATTTGATTTATATTTTTACGATTTTAAACTTATCTATGTAAGTTAATTGTTTTTCTTCTAAAATAAACTGTTGCATATGTAATTGACTATGTTCATAGTGTATGTTTAATAAAGATGTTAAGAACTATTTGGTTTTCAAACCAAAATCAGAGTGTTTTAACTGTGTTTGAGTTCGGTTTAAAAATCAAACAAAACATTATAGGTATTTAATAAAATGTATTATTGTACGAGTATTAATTTATTTATTGATTAAATAGAATATATAATGTTATTGAAGGTAAATACAAATAATATTAGATAGGTAAACTTTTTACAAAATGATATCTATATTTGTATATTTTTATTTATATCACAATTAATATGGATATCTATTATTTTTTAATTTGTTTAAAAAAAATACGTCCTAAGATAATTTAGATGGGTTCAACCACTGTTATAGATAAATAATGTATATCTGTAATAACGATAAACCATTGCTAACGAAAAAACGATTCTGAGCGCAGTTCAGTTGATAGTGATGCTTTGTCAACAATATATAATATATATTTTGGGAAAAGGCAATAACACCAACAAAATTAGATTGTCGTATTATAACTAAAATAAAAAAATATTCATAGTTCTTGGCAATCATTAGAAAAAAACGCAAAAAAAACACACTGATAAACATAAAAAAAAAAAATTAGTTTAAAGAACCAATAAATGACATTTTTGATATTGCTCATGCTGATGGTTTAGTTTGTATGACAATTCCAGAAGACAAACAATTTTCAATTGCTCAGAGAGAGAAAGGTATACGAGGTGATTGTGTGGTTTCATTTGATAAAAGATTAAGTTTAACAGAAAAACGTAGAGAAATTAGAAAAAAAAGAAGAAAACAGGAAAAAAAGAAGTCGAAAGGTTGTCTAACTCAAATTTTGTAAAAGAACCAAATTTAAGTGAAACTGAAATAAGTTCTCAATATGATGAAGAATATTTAGAAAATAAGGCAAAGAAACAAAAATTTAATAATAGACCTAATAATATTGTAACTCCTGAATTAGCTTTTGCCTTAGATAGGGCCAAATTAAGTGATAAAAATGCTACACATTATTTTCACAATTTTTTTAAATATCATTCAAGTACATGGGAAAACGATGAAGAATATAATAAACTAAGAAGAAGAATCATGGAGTTGAAAGTAGTCAATTATACCGCAGAACGTGGAATTAACCTAGTACAGAATTATAATTCTTTATTAGCTAAACATGAAGACCAGAAGTAATACATTTTGCAAATACCATGCAGGACCATCATCAAAGATTCCCTAACTCAAACAAATGAACTTTAATTCGTAATTTACTTTAATATATTTATAAATAATGATGTAAATGAAATTACTTTATGATATGTATATTATTGTATAAAGTATTTTTTTTATTTTTTTGTTTAATTTTAAAATTCATTCAGCTACCTTTAAAAATTATTTTGAATTCCTCAAATTTATACTAATAAAAAAAATATATCAATTATAAAAAAATTATGAGTTATGACTTAGATTATATTATTGTTGAATTTTTTAGTGACACCTAATATATATGTCATATTATGGTAAAATACCTAATTAAATAGGCATTATGTATTTTCTTTAATTATATTTGTTTAATATTGTACCAATTTTCCCGTTTTCTCATGTTTTTCGCGGTTATTCACATTTGCTGGGAAAACTTTTGGAAAATTGAAAAATTACCTCTTAAAGTACTCAGTTCCCCAGTCAGATTGCCTTTTAGAAAAAGTATTATTGTAAATCGGATGACAATTGTAGGTAGAAAAGTTGTTGACAGAAAAAAAATCGTAATATTTTTTTACTAATACCTACATTTCGTACATTTTCCGTTTTTCCGACATATTTTCTCGGTTTTTCCCAGATATTATGAAAACCACTTGAAAAATCAAAAAACAACTTCTCTAAATTACCACGGAGATAAAATTTTCCCGAGCCAAATCAATGTAGTTGCAACACTGAATATGGCACATATATATTGTTAACAAAGCAACACTATCAACTTCACTCCGCTCAGAATCGTATTTTCGTTAGCAATGCTTTATCGTTGCTTACAGATAATATACATTACATTTCCTCTATACTACCTTTCCCACTTTTCACCTACAACAGCGGCTTACTCACGTGCAAAGTTGCTTGCCTTTTTTTCATACTACCAAACGGTTTTCATATGTATGAGTGAATTTTTAAAGCGCACTAATACCTGATTGTTTTAAAGGAGAATTACGAAAATCTATACCGAAGAGATTGTCATTTTGCAATTTAAATACGGGATTGTAATTTGAATTAAGATCGCAGGGGCAAATTTAAAAAAAAATTCGAAAAGATTACAGAAAATAATAACACGGTTTGGTTTGATTTCAACATGGTGGTTTTTATACATTATATTTATATAGACGGAAGTATGACTGCCGTCGAGCTTATTTCTCCTCCCTCGTATATAGCCATCGGCGTTGGGTTTCTTGTTATTTTGGAGAAATGTGTACTTGTTTTTCTAGATCGTCTAATTGGAGTATGCTTTTAAAATTTTGCGAAAAAAATATCCGAGAAAACTACGCGTTTTTGTCATTAAGTAACGGCTTTTATATATTTTAAAGCCATACATGGTGTCCCATGAAGATAATACCTTTGTATTATCTCCGGAGATAATAAAGATAATTAAATTCTGTTTTTATATTACTCAAGTTCTGCGCACGTCTATTAAATACCTACGCTAAACTCTATACAACATTACTCACTATTATTAATATTACTATACTAATATTACTACTCTACTCATTATATCATATTAGACTATTCATATACTGGTACTTTTTCACAAAGCTGGGCATCAGCGAGCTAATAAGTTAAAGTTAACTTTTTAACTTAATAAATTAATTTTTTTTTAAATATTAACGTAATTGTTAACTCGAGGAATACAATATAATATAGTTATTATATATAATATAAGTTAATATAATTAACTTTTAATTAACTAAAGTTAATTTTATATTTAAACAAGTTAAGTTGATTTCAATTTTAATTTGTTTGCTCATGATATGCTATGATATATATATATCATATTATGTTAAAATAATTGCATAAATACTTGTGCATTAAATATTTTCTTTAATAATATTTGTTTAATAGTGTACCTATTTTCCCGTTTTTCCTTCGTTTTTATCATTTTTTGGGAAAATCACAAAATAACTTCCTTAAAGTACCACCCCAGTCAAATTTCCTTTCAGATAAAGCGCTTAAATTGTAAATCGGAACCAGATTTTTGGTAGAAAATATGTTCACAGTCAAAAAGTTAATAATAATAATAAACATCATTGTTAAATAAATACATTCCTCGCTCTACTCAGAATCTAAAAATTAAAATGACGCCCGTGCACATCCACATTGCACCAGGGGTGTGCTCACAGAGAGGAATAAGTGCGTCATATCCCACCCATGAATTTTTTTTTATACATTTATTTGAAGTTCAGGAATAGTTTCGGTTTCCTCGGGAAAAAAAAGTTGTGCTTGGTTTTAATTTTTTAGTCATGTTAAATATTATCATACATATAAAATATGTTTAGTAAATACTATAATAATAGTAATTATCTATAGATAATGCATGCATAAAACAAAGGTACCAATGAACTATCATAAAATTTCAGTCCATTATATTCTGATATCTATGTTATAAACGCGACCATCGGTATATTAATATAATATATTAATGATAATATTATTATCAATAGTAATTATGCAGTCTATAGCTAAACTATAATAAATTTATTTTAATGCACATGCCTAATTGCTTAAATATTTTTAATGATTTCATATTTTAGATTCTGAGTGTAGCGAAGAATAAATTGGTTTTACAAAGATGTTTATTTTTTTTTTATATACTATGTACACAAATTCTACCAGAAATCTTACTCCGGTGAATACAATGTAGACCCTTGTTTAAAAAAAAATTTTCTTGGGGTGGTACTTTAAGGAGGTCATTTTTCGATTTCCTCAGGAGTTCTCTCATCAAATGTGAAAAATCAAAAAATACGTAGGAAAAACGGAAGAAATATATTAGTAAAATATTAAGATTTTTTTTTTCAGTGAATAACTTTTCTACCAGCATTTTTGCTCCGATTTACAATGATAGCACTTTTTATAAAAGGAAATCGGACTGGGAAGGTACTATAGAGAGGTATTTCATTTTTTGATTTTCCCAAGAGTTTTCTCAGTAAATGTGAAAAACCGGAAAAAACATGGGAAAAACGTAGGAAAAACGGGAAAACCGGTACAATATTAAATTAAATATTTTACTGTAAGTTTATACTTTATTTTAGAAAAAATAAATCAGTTTTTACATAACTTTTATCTTTTACTATTTAGGTACTTGAAAAATTATACAGGCCATTGTCAACATTTATGTTTCCTTTAAACCAAAAAATGAAAAAAGAGGTTTAAAATATTATGAAAATAGGTATGTATAACATATATATATATTGTACACATTAACCTACATAACCTAAATAGGGACTATAGGAATAGACATTAACCAGTAAAAAAATTAAAAGTTAACTTATAAAGTTACATTTTTGTTAACTCTTAACTTAATAGTCAAAAGGTACTGCTTAAAAACAAAATAAAATGTTAGCAAATAACTGAGCTAAATTATTTTGTTAAAATATAAGTTAATTATAAAGAGTTACTTTCGATTTTTGTTAAAACTGTGTAGTTACCTATGGTTTTTAAATTTTTTTTTTTTGCCGGAATTTAAGTATTTTTAAATATCATCACATAATAAACCGGGTATGCGGCTCATACAAGGATATGGGCTACGAGTCTTATATAGTAAGCCAATAAAATTCTAAATATTAAAATACGGTTAAGGGTAATTTATAAAAAAAACCACTTCAACTTAACGAAGTTATCATTTAACTGAAAATGTATAATTTAACGTAGTTACTCAAATTCATTTAAATCTCAAAGTTAATTTTGACTTGGCTTAGTTATTATTTTTTTTTTCTCTAGGATAACTTGTTTGTGATTAGTTTAAAAAAACCGGTTGATTCGCCTCACTTTGCTATATTACCCACATAATAATAGTATTTCATATTATTAAATTAATATTTATTTTCGTAAATAATCGGGCGAATACCAGACTACTGTCGTTCTAATTTTGTTTTATAATCAAATTTGTCTTCGTGCACCGGTACACTTCGTCGGTCGGGCCGTCTCGCGGACGTATAAATATAGTGGCCCGCAGTTCGCCGGGAATCCCGGGCTAGTCCTCGTCCCCGTGCGTGTCTGCGGTGTGACTTACCCGGAGTGAAAGTGGTCGGCAGGTCTTCTTTGAATCTGTCGTACATGGCGCCGAAAAACGTTCCGTCCAGACCGGCCGAGCAGATCGCCAACAGGTTCGCGGCCGCGTACGCGTACAAAACGTCGCGCCCGTACATGTTATTATTATTGTTGCTGTTGTTGTTGTCGCGAGCCGCGGCAATTAAGACGACAGAGTATATGCGCGCGGTTTATACGAACGCGAAGAACGTTATTGGCAGGAGAAGAAAGGAGAGAGAGAGAGAGAGAGAGAGAGCAGAAAATGAAAAAAAAAAAAAATAGGAAAAAACCACGACCCGGCGGAATTATATCTGAGAACGCGGTCCCCGTTTCCGTTGGGCGGTTTAATCGCGACAACGAATTGCGCACCCGCCAAACGCATCATTGTTGTACAATACGTACGATACAATACGATGCACGGTATAGAATTCCGGGCGATACGCGCGCGAACGCGGCGACAAGCCGTCGACAAGACCGTAAATATAATATTATTGTTGTTATCCGCCGCCGTCGTGGACACCCCTCTCGCGTGCGCGGCGACGGCGAATATTAATCGAACCGGGACGGCCGCGGGACGTGGTGGAGCGGGTGGCGGGGTGAGGCGGTCATGGGCGGTGGAGAGGGGGGTGGGGGGGGGAAGGGGTTGGGGTCTTTCGCGATATTGCCGTCGGACGACACCCGATAACAATATAATAATACTGCGCGATGACGTATTGCCACGATTCCGCGGTGGGCTTCCGATAAAACGTCCAATTAACACTTACCGGTTCGGGCGTTTACCTGCGCGCCGCCGCGGTATCCGGTGCCCGGGCGGCGCGCGCGGGCAGCCGCCTGTACATTATGCGCTTGTGTAGACCTAACCCTCTTGCTGATATCGCGGCGGGCACACGCGCGTTGAATACCATTACGATTACCCCGCGCGCGCGCCGCTCGCGAATATTACGTTTCCCATGATAACGCGATAAAACATCGTACAGCGCGCGTACCACTCTGTGTGCAGACGGTGGCGTAGCGGCATGCGTGTTGCGTATGCTCGGGTTTCACGGTTTGCCGCGTTAAAATAATTAACGCGGCGATTCAAAAGCGTCCCCGAAACGGTATACCGGGGGAAGGGGCGGTGGGGGGGGGGGTTGGGTTGTAAAGTGTTTTACTCGCGTGGAAAGCCGTCAGTTTTATTACACGGCGCCGCCGCGTATAAATAGACTTCTCGGTTTTCATCGCCGCGCCCGTCGGCCGACCGCGCGCGATCATGTTTCTCGCGCGACGTGGCGGGGCGGGCGGGGGGAAATGTACTCTGTCCGCGTGTACGGTTTACCGGCAGGACCCGACGCTACTCGCAACATAACCCACTCGTTGGTTTCATTTAATTCGCAATATTAATTTTCGTTTATTTCGGAGTGTTTTGTCGTTTCGCGTTACGCGCGTACCGCGTACGGCGGATTCGTAGATAGGAAAAAAGTGCCGATACTGGGGACGGGTGCGGCCACTGTTGTAGGCGGGATACATAAAGTTGTTTAATTTGTATGCATGTGACCGACGATTAACCATTGCTAACGGAACACGGTCCGAAGCGAAGTTCAGTTATACCCACACGTTTTGAAAGGACGTTATACTTACGATTATCGTCAAAATTTTATTTTTAAAACGTTTAAAAAAAATACAAAACTTTCGGTTGAAGTAATATTTCTGATAGAAAACATAAGCATTACACAATGGAAACGGTAACACCGTGGCGCGCCATACATATTTGCCGTTTTATCTATAATTTTCTTACGGTTTTATCCAATTATTTGGAAAACCCCTTGGAAAATCGAAAAATGACCTCTTCAATGCACCAACGAGAGAAAATTACCTTTTAGAAATCTATACTTCGGAGCAAGTTTTCTTGTAGAAAAGTTGTTTACAGAAACAAAATAAAAAACATACATTATAGTGGAACTAATAGATTCCTCGCTACGCTCCGAGTCAAAAATCTACCGAAAACTCACTACAAGCGCCTTCTCCCCACTCACTACCCCCCGTGTGTCGAAAATATAATAAACCGCGACACCGAATTCGGGAAAATGGGGTACTCCTTTCAGATCTCCCTCCTACCCCGAAAAAAACAGCGCCATAGTATAATATTTTAATCATAGCAAAAAACGGTGATTATTTTGATAATACAATACTGTTTTGATAATATCAACTGCATAATTTTCAAAATGCTCGCTATTATCTGCGTCGCGATTCGGGTGCGACACGTTCACATACAGACACTGTTATACATTATCGTCATTATTATTATTTTAACTATTATGTTTACGACAATATCATAATATGTTACGGCTTATTCCGTGGCATTTACGCATATCCGCGGAGAGGGGGGGCAATCATTATTTTGTCGGGAAATGAAGTGAAGTGGTCGTCCAACAAGCGGACTACATATTGATCGCGAAATTGTTCTTGCGCACTCCTAAACTGAAACTACGCGTAGTCATCGACAGCATGGGGAAATTGATTTCTTTGAAATTCACTTTTAGCAGGGACATCTGTAAAAATAGAAATCATCTGACATAACGAATAGCATTATTTGTAACAACTATAAGTATTATAATCTAAGTTCTATAGAAAATACGATATTTTTATTCGAACTATGAATTTCAAGCCTCTACAGTTATTTTTAAGTGAATTGAAAAAAAAAAATTGGAAAGGTAGGTTATATTTATATAGAGTAATATTATATACATTATTTTATAGAAGTTCGGTTAAACATGTTTTGAAATTCCGGTGATTTTCATCAAATTTTTTACTGAAACGATTAAAAAAAAAAAAATACTACATTGGATTTAACTTTTTCTTTTACCAATAAATACAACTTATGATGAGCGGGAATGCGGGATGTCCACTGGGCATGAGAACATATCTTGGACGTCGCTTGGGGTAACGCTCCCGCCTCCGACATACGCTTTAACAGCCTGTCGGAAGGGTTCCCAGTGCGGCCAGTCAAAGAACGTGTGCTCTTTAAAAGAGTAATAATTTATACAATATAGGTAGGTAGGTGTCATCTTATATCATATACCTATCTAGTATCAACATTATGTTGTTTTAAATATTATGTCGTTTATACGGTGGAACATTAATATTTAATTAAGACACTCGTTTGAAATATTGAAATATTATTTTCATAAAGAACCATGTGGTTGAATCGTGATTGATTCGTGGATGATATTTGCCCATCTACAAGTGATAATGTATTCATTTTGTAACCGCAGAATTTAATCCAGAAATCAGCTGTTACGATCTACTACTAGCGGTACTTAATCCGTTCTTATGGATGAAAATTCACTGAGACTCGTCATGATGCTAATTCAATTAGAAAAAAGTTAATACAATTATGAATAGCTTTTATGACATATTAAGCTAATTTAATGATACAATTTTTATTTACAACAAATTTAAATTGATATAGTTACTGGTGATAATATGCTACAATCATTGATAACATTTGTTGATGAACTTCGAAAAGATATTGTTGCGATATAAAATGAAAAAAAAAAATGAGTTGAGTAACTTGAGTCCCTCAGTTAGTTAAGAATGATTTAATGGAGAAAAACACAAACGTAAAATTACGCAGAAATATCCAGATGGTATTACAGGTCATGACATTTTGAATTTGTGAATGTACTATGTAACTTACCTAAGAGTATATGTAACTATGTAAGAATCTTGTCGAATAGTTTTTTACGAGCAGCTTTTTGAATGATTGAATTTTATTAGTTTTGTACTCATAAAATCATAATATTCATTGATTAAATTCATAAACAAACGTACCCTGCAGTGTTTTTTTTTTACGAAAACAACACTGGAACGAAGAAAATAATATGTTTATAATATTATTATACAGCAGTTATTTCGAACTGATTGCAATCCCATCGAAATGAGAATTTTTCAAAGACACATGAGAGGTACCTTATCGCGATAATATTATACTCAGCGTTGTACAAAATATGACTGATATTACGATTTGTGAAAATAAAAGAGACGACAGACGGAAATTATGATCGCGATAAAAAAAAGTGTAGCAGCAGCAGCAGCTGTTGCCTATCAAAGAAAAAAAGCCATATGATTATTCGATTTTGTTATACGAATTTTTTCTCGAATCTCGTTGTCATTTTTTTTTTTTCAACAGATTCAGAAGAAAATAAATGGATTTTAATCGTTAAATCTACATCCAGTGATGTGTCAAGTAATTTTCAATAGGAGAAAATATATAGCAAATAATAATCATGAAAAAATCGTAGAATCTTTTTTTCTACCAAACTTGACTGAGTGTAAATTCAATACTCAACCTTACCAGACTCAAAAAAGTCAACTTTTAATCAATAAATTAAATTTTTCATTGCAACTTGGTTGAAATATACATATGTATTTCAATTACTAATTTAAAATTACTAAATAAAGACTCATATAGAGACATAGCCCCTAATTCCCCCCCTCTTGCACCCGTTATTTTCTACGTGAATCTTATATCAAAGTTTTTAATAGTAGTATTAGGGCTGTGAATTTAAGGGGCCGACCGACACGACAAATGACCGACAACGAAAATACCGATACGGACAATATTGATAGACAAAACGAATTTAGTATAATTGTTTTCGCAGCAGTCACACTCACTGTAGTCATTCATCACAATATTTTTGTTATAAATATAATTGTATCAGTATATAAACTAAATTCGAATTAAACGCTGTAATTACATACTTAATCGTAAACAGCTTGTGTAGGAGTGGATCCAGGGATATTCGAGGCGTCAGCTGGTCCACCTTTTTTTTCTCATTAGCATGTGCCGTTATTTTGACATAAATATAATTTTTTTAACAAATATGTACTTGAGTAACCCATTGTAGACAGTACCAAGTGAAAATAACTTGAGAGGGACTATATTTATTAAGAAAATCAGACGCGTTCTCGAGATGGTCAAACTTTCAGGAAACCTATCACGGATAAAAGACTTTCACAATACGTTTCTCTCGCACACACTTGTTATCAGTACATGCAAATGCTAATAAGCTATAAGGATTTAGAATTAACTGAACCACACCCCCTAAAAAAAATAATATTATCCTATACATATTCTTGCACAATAAAAATAAAATCTGATCATGTATAATAATTATTAAAGAATTTATTTTCAATAAAACTAGTTTTAGATTCTGATTGGAGCGATTAATGTATTGATTTTACAATAATATTAATTTTTTTTTTTATGTGAACACTTTTTTTACCAGAAAGTTTACTCTGATTATCAAGTATAGCACCTTTACTCTGGGT